ATGTATGAGATATTGGTATCGTCTGACTATATCAGCTGCTAAACAAGCAATGCAGAGAGGCACCACTCAGCTGGACACACAGACTGAGAGAAATAGTTGTGTAAAGGAAACCCTGTCTCCTGTCTCACCTCTGCACAGCTGATCAGTCACATAATGAAGCGGGTGTAAATGCTGGATTGTCAGTTTCAGAAAGTGGTAGAAATTTTTGGATGCAGCGAGTCAGTTAATTTGTGGAGGGAGGTTGTTTAACCACCGGAAAGGCTCTTCTGATGGAGTACAGTATATACTGCAGCTTAAAGAGGCTTTCAGACTGCGAGCGGTTATTGCTGCATCTGCCATGGCAGTGTTGGTGTTTTTGTGGGGTGTGTATTTTCAGGAGGCAGCAGGACATAACCCAATACAGCAGAGGTTAACATTGCATTTTTTAAAAATATTCATATATTCATTTTTATTATGAAACCAGACCTACAGACATTAACCAGAATATAATAATATAATATAAAATGAAACATATCAAATATCAAAATAATATATCACTTTGTTTGTTGTTTATCTTTTTCTGCAACCTGATTAGTGTTTGTCACCAACATACAGTTATGTAGTCACATGTACACACACACACACACACATACACACACACACACAGTTTGACATATCCACTGTAAACTGTCATCTACCACATTCTCAGCGTTCCTCACGTTTCTTCCTGTTAATCTTTAGGAGAGAGTTACACCAGACTGTGTGTATGAGTGTGTGTGTATCATGTGTGTATCATGTGCTTCTGAGTGTATGAATGTATTTGTGTGTGTGTGTGTTTGTGTGTGTGTGTCTGTGTGTGTGTGTGTGTGTGTGTGTGTGTGTGTGTGTGTGTGTGCGTGTGCGTGTGCGTGTGCATGTGTGAAAAAATGTTATGTGAGACTGACACACACAGACACATACACACACACACACACTGAAGCTCCACCCTTTGTCTGTCCAGCCGATGTGAGATCAGTTTTACTGGTAGAAAATCAGATGGAGTCTTGTCCACTCAGCCTCTCCGATCTGTATCTGGATAAAAGTTTCCTGCCCTTCTCCCTGCTGGAGCAACATGGAGGCTTATTGGTATCATGTGAAATCTAACACAATGAAAAAGGCCCCCTCTGGACAGGAGAATGACATCCAGACTGAAAAAGTCTCAAAACAACAACAAACAACACTGCTGCATCGCTTGTAGTGGTTCAGTGTCTCTTGGTGGTTGTCTTGTATCTCTTTGTGGTTGTTTTGTGTCTCTTTGTGGTTGTTTTGTGTCTCTTTGTGGTTGTTTTGTGTCTCTTTGAGGTTGTTTTGTGTCTCTTTGTGGTTGTTTTGTGTCTCTTTGAGGTCATCTTATGTCTCTTAGTTGTTGTTTGTTAATGAGTCTTGTTGGAAAGTCGCTTACACAGATTTTAATATTAAGAAGTCAACTATCTATCATCTTCTTACTCCAATACGGGGGGCCACCAGGGACCTGTGCCAACCCTCTGGCCCCACCCTGAAGTCAGGCTTGCTGTTTTCCCCAGTCTTTATGCTAAGCTAGGCTAAATGGCTACATGTATAGATATGACAGGGGGGTCAATCATCTTATCTAACGCTCCACCAGAAATTGAACAAGTGTATTTCCCAAAAAGTTGAACTATTCCTTGGAGATAATTAGGAGTAAGTTGGAATAATTTTATTTTCAGACACAGTCCTCTGTTTATTCCTATTTAAATGCATCAGTAATCACTTTGGAAGAGATTGACTACTAAAGTTTTGAGAAGATATACACTTTATCTGTCACGAATAAATCACATTGTCACAATCATTTCATGGAAAGAGGTAAAAAATATTTTATTCCAGCTTTATGAGCAACAGTGTATGATGAGAACTGTGTGTATGAGCGTGTGTCCAAATAGCAGAGAAGGGTGTGTGTAATTATATCTCTTCTGGCTAACTCTGACCCATTTCTCAGCCTTGTCTGCAACTGAGAGTGTGTCTGTGCGTACTGTATGTGTGTGTGTGTGTATGTGTGTGTGTGTGTGTGTGTGTGTGTGTGTGTGTGTGTGTGTGTAAGTCTGCTCCCACGTCCTGGTCACACCATTCCCAAGATACTGCCAACACCCTGGGGCGCTCACTTTACTGTCACACATACTCACACACACACACACACACACACACACACACAGAGCTGCAGCCGTCTGCTGACCACCCTCCACCACACTGTTGCATAACAAGAGAACAGAGGAGGAAAGAGAAGAGAAGAAACAAGAGATGGAGGAAAGAAGCAAAAGAAAGTGAGTCTGAGAAACAAAGAGAAAGAAATGTGATACGAACAAAGAGGAAACAGAGGAATAAAAAGACCATTTTCTGCTGATGTCATGCTTTAATCTGTGTTTGCATACTGTGCCTTTGTCACCTCAGCTCTCTTTTGTATAGTTGGTATGACAAACTTGAACTGGAAACACTGGTATTGTGCAGTAAACATAACAAAGCAGATTCTTTTCTGAATTCTTTCTCAGAAAAAAAGTTGAAATTTTTCAGTCACAACTTACTTCTAAGTTTGTCACACTGACAAAAATGTACATCAGGCATTTTTTCAATAATAGAAATCACCTCTGCAGCCAGATGTTTGCTGCGGGAATGACAACTGCTGCACTGACAGAAGGCCTTAAAGACATGTTTGACACTCTCAGCCTCTAACATGACGTCACGACCCCTTTGTCCACATGTCCCTTCAGTCAGTGTGTCTGTGTGTTTTCAGGATTTCCTGCTGCTGCACTGACCTCTGCAGGCTCTATTTTTAAATTGGTTGACCTTTGACCCCTGCTGCTTTATTTAGGCTAGAAAACAGTCTGGGAAACTTAAAGGGATTTCCCAAACTTGCTGTGTGTCTGCGCATAAATTTAGACGTACATTTCGGCACTTTTCTGCCACTACAAAGTGTGAAATTCTCATAAGAACCTGCCTGAGTTTAACATGCAAATACTGAAACTATAATACAGTTTCTGAGGAGCGTCGTCTGTGTCTGTTTTAGAAAAGATGTTGAACTGGAGGAGAAGCTTTTAAACTTTTCAAAATTCAAGAATCATTTGGAAGTTTTCACAAATCTGGTCAAAAAATCAAAAATTTAAAAGTCTCTGATAAAACAGTTAAAATGTCTGTAATGCAGTATGCTGTACCACATATTTTTTCTGGTAGTTTACTAGATGTTGACTGTGATTTTGGAAACCACAAACCAAACCATCGTGGGACTGATCTGCTAAGGGGAGCCGGGGGCTTAAATGAGGTGCTGGGCACCCATTTAACCCCCACTCTTGCCTCTCTCTGTGCAATTTGTACCCTTTTTCTGAGCTGAGATACTGTCTACACCCAGTTGGACTGTGTGAAAATTTGATGAATTAAGGAATATGGACTAAATTTACTAAATGAGGACTTTCTTAAAACTAGACTCTGACAAATGGGGGCTTTCAAGACATGACTTCATCCCCCTTAAGGTTCCTAGAAGTGAACTTGCAAAGTTTTATTTAAATTCACATAGTCTATTTGAGACACAGTAAACCTGGAGAGTTTTGGGGCCTGGACTTGGAAGCAATATTCCAGCTCTGAAAGAAACCACCTGTGAGGAAGAATATAATACGATAGGACCTAATGATGTTAGCTCAAGACTTACACGAGCAGCGTGGATCAGATTTTCTGTTTCTTTCTGTTTGAACATCTTGACACCTGATAGGTGAAGACAGAAGATACTTTCCCTGCATGGAAACATCAAACATATTATTATTTAATCAGATCTGAGTGCACAGCTGAGGACTTTTTGGAGCAATGTCGCCTCCTAGAGGGAGCTTGTGAGACCTACAATAATCACTGTTCTTTGTGTTGACCATATGGAAAGCTGCTGCTAACACTGCACTGAGCAAGTTATTTACATATCCAGCTCCAGGTGGGTGACTGCCAAAGCTGCTGCCAACAGCTGTGTGTTTCATACACATTCCTATTGTTTAATCTAAGGTGTAGCCAAACCAAAGTGTAGGACATTTGCATTAAGTTGAAGTTGTATGCTGCTTGTTGCCACTTTGCATCCTCATAGATGTAGTGCAGTTATTTCTGTTGAAAACGCATCCTGCTGCTTCTTGTGTCTTTGTAGCTGAGAGTAAGGATAGGGGAGTTGCATGCAAATGTCCCTTGGCACTGGTCCACACCCAGAAGAAACAATACACAAACAAAAGCGCACAATTGCCAAACCGCCCAGTCAGCTGAATATGTAAATAATGCACTCAGTGGCTGAACGAAACGATCTGCCTCTTTGTTTTCTGCTTTGTCTTCAAAGAATAAATCCATAATTTTAAGCGTTAATCCTGTCCATACTGAGCAGCAAAATCTGTATCATTGTAGATGAAGAAAGATATAACTTGAAAGAAAAGTACTACTTTAAATCAAAATTAAATTTCAAAGGAATAGTCAGACAATTTGGGTTAATAAGCTTATTTGCTGTCTTATGGAGAGTTAGAGAAAAGAGTTGATACCACGTTTTGCTGTTGTTTTGTTGGTCTTAGATTTTTGTTTTTGTACAGATTAACCAAATTAATATTTACATCAAAATTATGAGATAGTCTGATTTTTTAGGTAAAGAATCTTACTTGCTCAGCCACTGTTATAAGATAGTAAGTTAGAATAATGAGAACTTAATAGTTTTTTAAAAACTATTTTATTTTTTTATTTTTTTATCATTACTAACTTTGTTGTCTGTTACACAACTGTTACACTGAAACAAATGAGAATGCTTGAATAAAAGGTTGAGGGATTAATTAAATATTACTTACAAATATCACATGAAATAGTACTATGAAAAAATGATAAATAGGTAAATACAAATTGAAGAAAAAACAGAAAAACATTGCGCACACTTTTATGCAAATGTAGTGTGACGCGCGGAACTGCAGCCAATAGGGTTTGTTTACATTCGCACCGGAAACGGAATCACACCGTTGTTGTTTTTTTTTTTCCCCTATTCTTCTCGCTCCGCTGCTTCAGGCAGGTACAGAAGTTTTGAACAAACATGGAGTACAAACTCATCATGGCGGTCTCCGGCTTCCCGAGTCTCTACGACACAAATTCACTGACCTACAGGGACCTGAACATGCGGAGCGACGCTTGGAGGCAGGTCGCGGAGATCGTCGGGGTTCCCGGTGAGTGGCTCAAGTTTTCCGCCGTTGAACATCAAACAACAGCCGCTCGACGAACCGTGTGTTCACACAACTCACCTTAACGACACGGTGTTAATGTGACCGAGTTTCCAGGCTGAATTTAAACACTTTATCTATTGTTATTTCCATCAAATCCCTGTTGAAAAGATCAAAACAATAACTGTCCATGCCTAAATATGTTCCGACTGTCTGTGGCTTCCCAGCCCGGAGCTCATTGGTTCCTATTGAAGCGTATTTCAACAGTCATGTAATAAATGAAGGTTTCAATGTTCACTTTGTGTTGACACTGTATTAAAGACGTGTTGATGGGGGATATAGTTTGTTTCTAATATTTTGGCTTCCCTATTTATATCAGTGAGTGTAAGCTAAATATCAAAGAACAGATTTCAGTATAATGCAATACAACTTCAGCATCATAACACCTCTGTAACACAATTTTAATCAAAAAACGGAACATTTTAACCTTTTTGAAGGAGGGTTTATTGAGGGACTTTTGTATTCGCTTTGGCTGCGTGTAACTAATAAATTGCCCACTGAGTGTTTCGTTTTCCTGAAGGAGCAGGTCACTGGAGGTTTGTAAGGGACTGTTTTCAGGAACCTTTGACCACTAATAGTGCTATGTATGAAATGTTTTTTTTCTAAACGTATTAATGATTATATGTTCAGATTCCATAATGTGTCATTTGAATTAAATTTTCACAGTTCTAAAGGCAAATACTTTTACCTTGCAAACTTAACTACAGTATGAGTCAAATATTTCCGGATCTAAAAAAAACTAAACAAATCAGACATTTGCAAACAAATAATAAAATGCAACAGAACTGTGTAAAATAAACAAATGAATGTAATAAAAATATTTCAAATAGGTCAGGTAATAAACACTTAAAAACTAGATTAAAGGGGTTGAAGTTAAAATGTTTCTTTAAGGAATTTACAGAAGTTGCATGTTGGATATTTCTGAGCAGGCTGTTCCACAGTTTTAGTTCATAATAAGAAAAGGCCTATACACATTTCTTGGTCTTACCTGTTGATACTGTAGCGTTCAGTGACATAAGACAGCTGGTGGATGTGTGTAGAGAGAGTCGACAAACTATGGAGGTGTAAAAAATCAGCACCTTGTAAAACAGTAACAAAACTTTTAAATTTTATTCTGAAAGAGACAGGGAGCCAGATAAAAATCCAAGATAAATATTAAAAATACAATTTAAACATGGAACGAGTGAAAACTGTGTGAACACAAAGGCTTTTGAGACTCCATTTGTTTGTAGGAGTAAAAAGAATTAGATGATAGAGTGATAGCTGGCATCTCAATAAGAGAAAAAAAAATCTGTAAAATGTTGCATCTTTTCTTTGGCCTCCATTTAAAATTTTGGAAAAGGTCTCCGGCTTTAAATAAAAATACATGTTCATGTAAATGCGACACAATCTATTGTTTTTATTTACAAGCAACAAAATTAAAGAAGACAATTTTTGAAATTACACAAGAAGTTACACAAGAGATAATTATTTTAATTAAAATATCTTGGCAATGTGAGAAATGAAGTAGGTGAATTTGTGCCTTTACCTCAAACAAAGGCTTTCGTAGGCATTAAAAAGTCTAAAATAGTTGTTGTCACCTGCAGTAACTGTTATATACTGCTGCCTGTATGATATAAAATATCATAATAACCACAGGCCATATCGTCTTATCTGGTTTTCATTGATGTCTTTCATACTTTAGCCAGTGTGACCATGAAAAGGAATTAAACTGGATTGTATTTGGTATTCAAGTAAAAGTCTGTTGAGATATGTTAGTAGGAAACATTTATTGCTGGTTTTCATGGGATCTGTTATAAAAAAAAAATATAGTCTGACAAAATCTGTTGTAGACTATGTAGTCATGTAGATTGTATTCTTCATGTTCTTCAGAGTCTGAATGCAGAAGGAAGTGGAAGACGCTGAGAGACCAACACAGGAGGGAAAGGCAGCGGGAGAAAGAGAGGCGCGAGAGTGGCATCGGCCTCTTTAACTACCGGCCGTGGAGATACTCATCGATTTTGTCCTTTTTGAACCCGTTCATTGATGCCAGAGCTGCAGGCACCAACGGCTGGGCTCTGGACCCACAGCCCTCTCACTTCCATGCCTCCGAACTGGTGGGCTGCAGTACGACCACGGAGGTGCGGAGCGATGACGACGAGAATTATGGTTTGTAGAGGAGGATGTTTAATACATTGAAATAAGTTCTAAATCAAGTATTGCCAAAGCAGGTTGTATAAAAATGAAGAATTATGAATAATAATCCTGATTATTTTAAGGAAAACATTACAACACAGCTACTCAAAATGAAAACAAAAACGAATGGTTACGTTTATTTAGTCTTCAGTCACTGTCATAAAGGTCAAGGATTTCCAACAATTTATAATTTATGACTAATTTATAACTATACATATTCACATGAGTCCATCAACAGGAAACTAACTGGCAAAAGTAATTTCATTAAGCAATAGTAATTAAGCAAAAACTTTAATGGTTTCAGCTTCTCACATGTGAATATCATGTGAATATCATCACATTTTTCTCTACTTTCTGACATTTGTATAGAGTTCTATTTTCTATAAGAACTTTATATAGAGGCAGTAATATGAGTGAGTCTGTGTTTTCAGTTTGAGTTTTTTCCCCAGAAAAAGTTAAATGCAGCTTTAAAAGCTGAGTAAATAACATCAACAGTTCATTATTTATCAGAATAATCACTAGTTTATTTTCTTTCAAATAAACTTATTGATGATTCACTTCAGAATAAGAGTAAGAGCTTCACTTTCTCAGTAGTTTGTCAAACGATTATTAAATTTATTATGTTATTAAGAATTTAGTAAGTTTATTAGAGGAGAAAAGAAGCTGCATTACTGTTAAACAAATCAGCTCAGCGGCCATGAAACTGCACAGACTCTAAACAAAGTGAATCACTGGGCTGCAGTGATGGTCATAAGTGGTCATAAAAATCTCATACATACAGATATTCAGAGAAAAGGTAGGTCGTTTGAGTAAGTTTCCTACAATGCACTGTTTATTCAGCCCCCCTGAACATTAAAAACTCAACATTACATCCTTGGTGATGAAGGGTTAAGACTGCATTAATAAAGAGGCAGCTGAGTTTTCAGTCATTGTTGATCTTTTCGCAAGCTTCACTTGGCTTTTCACTGTGTTTTGCTGTGGTGAGCTGTCGTTTTTGTGCAGCTCGACTGGAGGCACAATAGCTATTGTGCCTGTTTTTGTGCAAAGTAAAGAGACAGGACTTCACCGCTGCATCTGCAACAACAACAACAAATAAAAAAACGCCATCGTGTTCAACGCTCGTTTCAGACAGGGGGATTATATTCAGGAGCAGGGCCCATTTTTATCCAACGTCTCAGATTCGCTCTTAGGAATCAGACTGAATGTGAACCTGGGGCTACGCACAGGAAGGAGGGGGACGCCACTGTTTTACAAAACTCACACAGAGAATAAATTATGATGATGGTATTGTTTCTGTCAGCTGTGGCTTGAAATATCAAACAGTGGAAGAAATAGCAACATTGTTACATGGAGGATATCATGGTTAAAAAATCGTCATCTCTATTAGCCATGTGTTTTACTGGGAGAGCCAGGTGTAATTAATATAATTAATTAATAATTACCTCCAACGTGTCTCTTAAGCTCAGTGTCATTAATGACTATCCCTCCTCAGATCGATGTTTAAAATGTGGCACTCAGAGTGAATCATTCATACATGCCTTTTGGCAAAGACATGGCAACATTGAAAGGCAGATTTCTAGAACTTGTAATTATAAAGTGTCATTATCGCTAATGATCTGTCTCCTTCAAAATAAAACACACAACTGGATGGCAGCCTTTTTTTTCATTAGTCTTTAAGAAATGCATATTGCAAAAACAATAAGGAAGCACCTGCACTTCGAAAATGGAAAACATTGATGAAATAGTACTCGCATGTCTTGGTTGTCATCCCTGTGCATGTGGTGCATATACTGTATGTATCTGTATGAGGGGGTGGAAATGGAGTATTACCTGTGCTAACAACCGCATGTGACGGTAATTGACTGTACTTGTGGATGAACTACTAAAACAGGATCAAATCAAATCAAAGATACAATTATGTAATATGTTGAAATTTTTTTTTATTTAATGCATTGTTTTCAGACCCTTAGTCACTGAAATAAAATAAAAAAACAAAACAGGGAAAAAAAAGTATATCCGTCCTTCCATTGAGCCTGAGTGTCTCAGACTGGAGGCTCTGGCCGTTTCTGACGGCCCAGGACACTGGTGGAGCTGTCCTCTAGATCAGCAGAGATAAAGATGTGGTTTCTGGAGCTGAGAAAGTTGAAATGTCTTTACTCCCAGTTCTAAAAGTATCACTCTGAGAAGTTTTTTTATTTCCTGGTTTGAGACACTTGATAAATATGGGCCCAGATTTCTTTTTTTTATAAATAATGACGATAATAATAATAATGATCTTTATTTATAGAGCACTTTTCAAAATCCATGTTATAAAGTGCTTGACAAAGGCAACAAAATAAAATAGATGAGACATAAAATCAATAGGAAGAAAAACAGATAAAGTAATTAGATGTGTAAAAACCAATACAGGGTCATTTTAAGAGAAATAAAAACACCTTAAGGGAAAGTAAAATCTTGGAATAGACAAACGACCTTAAAATAAGTTCTCAGATATTAAAACATAAGAAAATAACTTTGCCTAAATAACAGCAGCCGAAAACACATTAGATTACATTACACTGTAACGATAATCAGTTTTCTAGGTCTGTGGTTTTGCTAGATCACAGCTGTGGGATGGAAATGAAGCATGATTATTTTCTCTGTCTTTTCAGGCATTGCTGTAGCAGACGCAACAACAACAACAACAACATCGTCGTCGTCGTCGTCCTACTCAGAGTTCACCCAGAGGAAGCGACCGTCACCTGCCAACGGAGACACCACCAGATTTAAAGAAGCAAAGACTGAGGAGACCTCAGACACAGTTGCCACAGACGACAGTGTGCAAACACAAGGCCAGCATGTTCACATGAAGGAACTGTTTGAGATGATGATGCATTCAGTTACAACTTTGGCTACGTCCTTAGCTTCGCACTCTTCCTCACAGTCCTCGGATCAACCGACACCCCCTGCGCTCCTGCAGCCTGACCTGCTGCTGCTCCAGCAACGACAGGCCCACTGCAGCCCGCCGCCATCCAACGCCACATCGAGGCTGAACCAGCTGAAAACAGAGGAGCAGGAAGTTGTAATGAGGGAGTTTTTAGACCAAACGGACGACGATGATGTGGAGGAGTTCAGCGAGTCTCCCAGACTTCCTCAAGCCAAGAGGAAGAGCAGCGACAGCCTGCTTGAGGAGTACCTGAGGAGGATGGAGACAAGGGATGCTCAGAGAAACCTGGATCTGGATCAGAGAGACGATGTTACCCTCTTCCTGTTGAGCTTGGCTCCCGCCATGAGAAGACTTTCCGCAGAGAAGCAGTCGTGGATCAGAACCAAAATACAGCAGCTTCTTCACGAGGCAGAGTTCGGTGCCGCAAATTTCCAGTGATCTCAAACTTTTTTCTGCAGCGTGGATCATGTTCTCGAGGACTTCAATAACATTTCAATTCACCAACAGAGAATTCATTTAATCTCCTTTTTATAATACGTTAGATGACGTTCTCCTTTCCTGTGTTTTTGTGCTGTTTTTGATAAAATCTTGTAACAGTTATTTCTGTTTATATATATATATATATATATATATATATGAATTATTAAAGTGAAGTAAACATGGCTTCTGGGTTTTTTTGTTTTTTTTTACATGTGAAAACTACACGATTACATGATTAAAATGTGAAATCATGTAGGAGAGATATTTTAATCACTGCCTACTGGTCACCCCTTAAACTCATTATTATATCTTGGTGCTACTTTCTCTCTGCTATGAACAAATTAAAAGTCTCTTGGACCAGCAGCCATGCAAGTAATGTAGCAGGTACCACACAGCTGCAAGGTATCAAATGCCTACATTGGAGCTGCAGCAATTAGTTGATTAATTGATTAGCTGATTGAGAGGAAATGAATTGCCAACTATTGTGATAATCATTTGTAATTTTTCAACCAAGAAAAGCCAAAACATTTCACCATTCCAGCTTCTGGAATTACAGGAAGTAAGATGTGATGATATCATCTTGAACTCAGAATTGATTGATTAATCAAGACTATGATCAGCAATTGAATTGATGGTGAAAATGATCAATAGTTGCAGCCTGTCTCTATGTCCTTTACACCAACTCATTCAAACAAACATTTAAATTACATATAAGTAAAAGTAACTTTTAAGAGCAACTCTGGAGTGATTATGTCTGCTCAGCAAGGTCATAGCCAATCAGAGATATTTATTGACCCTACATCTGCCATATTTTAATAAGGAAAACTAAAACTACAGTTTAGTTAGTGGTTTGTACAGAACATATAGAATTATTATTATTTAAAAAGTTATCTGCAGTAAAATAAACAGGAAATGAACAATAAGACAATGTATAATGTATAAATATTTATACAGATGAAATAACAGGAAATTGTCTGGAATGGATAAGTCTGCTGTTAATAGTCAGTGTCATATTTATTGTTGTTTGCATCTTGTTAATTACATTAAAAAAAAACTAAACTAACAAAATAAAACAGAAAAAGTGGTGTAACTTTCTAACAAATGTTGAAATCCAAACAAAAGACTTAACTACTCTGGTGCTAATTCCGCTGCTTCAGCTCATGTATTAGAAACACCGCCCTCTCGCGCTGTCTCTGCAGAATTACAATACACACGGGTTTAATCCGGGCAAGCGGGTCAGGTGATGAAAACACGGAAGCGGTGACACACAGCGGGCTCGGTAAACAGCATGAGGCGGAGAGGAGCAGCTGCTGGGCCAGTGAAACATCCTCCTCGGTGGATTTATTAACGGTTTACAGATGTTTCAACATGGCGACGCGACGTTAGACTCAGAAACTGGTTGTGTTTTATCTGTGAGTACCGCGGCCAGGCAGCGACGGTTGGCCGGTTCACTTAGTCATGTCACCGACTGCAGTATCCATTTGGTCCGTTTCTAAGTTATAATTTCACCTCTGCAATACTTTGGTTTATAAAAGGAGATATAAATATCATAAAGAACAGACCCGTGAAGCATTTATTCTGTTTGTAAAGGGCCGATTTCACTGCTTTCCCCGCTACTAGACCACATCAGACCAGGTCCAGACCAAGAACCACTATATCTAGACTTGTCAAATCTGGACTAGATTTCCTGGAGAGTGTAGAGACTGTTTAAAATACAGTGCACATGTATTAAACTTTATTCGTGAAAACCAAAAGGAGTGAATTAACAGTTTTTTTCCCAACTAAACCACATCAGACCAGGTCCAGACCTTGGACCACTTTATCTAGACTTGTCAAATCTGGATCTGATTGACTGACTGACTGTTTACAACATGGTTTCACACATGAAACTTTATTATTTTGGTGAAAAAACAAATAAGGAGCGATTTTTCTCCTATTTTCCCCAACAAGACCACATCAGACCATGTTCAGACCAAAAACCACTAAATCTAAACTCCTTAAATCTGCATTAAATTAACAGTGACTGTGTTTAAAACACAATTGCAGATTTAAGAAACATTTATTCTATTTGGAAAGATAGGAAAAAGGGTAATATGAGTCATTTTTTCCCCACTAGACCCAAGCAGACCAGATCCAGGTCCAAAGACCAGTATATATATTAATCAAATCTGAATCATATTAATGCAGAAAAGCTGACGACTGTCTCAAATGTGTAAAACATTTATTCTATTTATAAAAGAAAGGGAAACTTCAGCCTTGTCATATTTTGGTTTTTGCCTCTTCGTCACTTCATTTTAACCACAGAAGAAGTGAAAAAATTAAACTAACACACTTTCCTCCATTGTCAGCCTCAAAATCAGTTCTTTTCCATATTTTCTGCACATTAATCATCATGCAAGTCGATACTGAGTTTAGTTTTTATTACAAAGAGCCAAAGTGAAACTTTGACTCTATAAAAATTCCCAGTAATTAAATTTTTTAAGTTCTTGACGGGTCCTTGGTCAGAGCTTTTAAATGGAACAAATATGTTCATTTAACTATGTGATTTTCTTTGGCCTCACCCTACACAAAACCTTCCGTTCTAACACCTTGGTGTCCCTGGTGTTTCCAGCAGGGGGCCCGGTGGGGCTACAGGTAACTGCTGCTGTTGCTGCTGCTGATGATGATGATGAAGGTGTTTCGCAGTCCGGCCCGCCATGGCTACGCTGTGGAAGTGTCTCCGTTCATCCCTAACAGAGTGGCCTGCGCTGCCTCCCAGCACTATGGACTAGCTGGTCAGTACACTTGCTCGTACTAGTTCACACACATACACTGTAGACAAACACACATACAGGGTTAAAGGACAAACCTGAGTAAATTCCCACAGGTCCCGAGGGCTTGACTGTATGATGTGAATGATATTCTGTGACCGTCACAATCACCAAACCTCAACCCAACAACAAGTCTGTAGTGCTTGAAAATTACAAGTCAGCACTATCTGCTACCTCCGTCTCAAGGAAGTCCATGAGGACGAGGTCTGCTTACAGCATGGTGAATGAGGGGGCTGCTGAATTCAAACTTGGCAGAGAGAGAGAGCCTGGAAGTGACTTGCAATTTTCAAATACCTGAAACAGAAATACCACAAAAGTTAATAACTTCTAACTTTCTGCACAGTCTCTCGACTGAACTGCAGGTCCAAGGTCCATCTCCTTCTACCTTAGGCCTTAGGTAAAAGGTTCAGTTGAACCCTAAACCTATGGGAGATTTTGGAGTGATGTGTTAGACAGTGTTCTCCACCATCATCTGTCAGTGATGAGCAGCACTGAAGCTGTTTCCAACACCTTTTCTTTCATTTGTCACTTGCAAGTTATAGTTTTGAAAAATATGATGTAATTAACCTTAAATATGCTTTGTGCATATTTGCAGGCTGTGGCACACTCCTGGTCCTGGATGACACGGAGACAGGGGTTTCTCTAGTGAGAAGGTAATCATTCTTTCATTCTTTCTTTCTTTCTTTCTTTCTTTCTTTCTTTCTTTCTTTCTTTCTTTCTTTAGGGTCAGGGTTCAGTGTAGAGTTCCCATATATGTGAGTCAATAGAATAATGCAGGTGTGTGTGTGTGTGTGTGTGTGTGTGTGTGTGTGTGTGTGTGTGTGTGTGTGTGTGTGTGTGTGTGTGTGTGTGTGTCAGCTGGGAGTGGAGTGACGGTCTGTTCGACGTGGCATGGAGTGAAACCAATGAACATGTCTTGGTTGCCGGGGGCGGAGACGGCAGCCTGCAGCTGTGGGACGTAGCCAATCACAGTGCTCCGCTGAGGGTGGCCAAAGAACACACACAAGAGGTACTACACGCACACACACACACACACACACACACACACACACACTTGTTGACAAAAGGATAAACTTTTTTGTATTTCATAAGGATGCTTTATTTGACTCTTGCTTGTGCATTTCTGTGTGTGTGTGTGTGTGTGTGTGTGTGGGGTGTGTGTGTGTGTGTGTGTGTGTGTGTGTGTGGGATGGGGTGGGATGGGGCTGTGTGTGAAGGTGTATGCTGTGGACTGGAATCAGACCAGAGGAGAGAACCTCATCGTCTCTGGATCGTGGGATCACACGGCTAAAGTGGTGAGACTGGTTTGTTTTTCTTCTTCTTTTTCTAAATCTTTGTCTTTCTCTGCTCTCCTCTGACAGCCATGTGTTTGGGTTTTTTTCCCCTCCAGTGGGATCCCACTCTCAGCCACTCGCTGAATACACTCAGAGGTCACGAAGGGGTCATCTACAGCACCATTTGGTCTCCTCACATCCCAGGATGCTTTGCTTCAGCCTCAGGTGAGCCCTCACACAGTCAGTAGAGTTGAGTTAGTTCAAGTGTAGTATAGTATAGTGAACGATTAACAGCAATTCACTATATTGTGTGCTTTTAAATAACATGAAGAAGATAAGAGGCAGTAAATAATTAGAATTCTTAAACATGGAGCCTGACGAGCAGCATTAATTATTGCACAGTTCACACAAATTGAGATAGTGTTTTTGAGCAAGACACTGAAACAGATTTCTGCAGATGTGTTTGGTGTGAGTTTGATGAATGCTAACACAGTCTCACCACAAGGTGGCAGTGTTGCAGTGTTATTCTGGCAGTTGTCTGTTGTGTTGAGTTTTCATGTGACGCTGTAGAGATTTTCAAAGAGATGTTCAGGGTCTGTTAGTGGCTTAACGTTTGGATTCAGCGTCACAAAGAGTTGTGATGATGCATTTGCAGTTTAAAGAGGATGTAGAGGTGGGAGGAGGCACATGGAGGATGGTCACATATTTCAGTTTGTTCTGAGTCTGTCACAACTTCTTCATTATCCAAATGTTTTGTAGATGCAGTGATGAGTAAGTCTCCTCTCAGTAAACACTTGTATCTAACTTAAGGGTTACCGTTTCCTGCAGAGCTCCCCGTGTTTGACAGTTCACTTTTCAAAAACTCAGCTGAGAGACTGAGAGTCTTACAAGTCTGAGGGACTTGTAAAATGTCTTCACATTATCCAGTAAAAGTAAAAAAAACCAAAAACAGCACGTCAGTGGTAAAGAAGTAAAAGTTGGCCTGTGAGTGGTGATGCTGTAGCTCCTCCTCTCCTCTCGAGG